AAATGCAGTAATATTGTAATGTAACAAATTACTTTGAAATGACAGTAATAGGTAATAAATAACGCATTACAGTTTCAAAGTAACTTGCCCAACAGTGATTACTACTACTACTACTACTACTATTGCTACTACTACTACTATTATTATTACTACTACTACGACTACTACTATTACTACCACTACTGCTACTGCTACTACTACTACTACTACTATTACTACCACTACTGCTACTGCTACTACTACTACTACTACTACAACTATTACTACTACGACTACTACTACTATTGCTGCTACTACTACTACTACTACTACAACAACTATTACTACTACTACTACTGCTACTACTACTATTGCTGCTACTACTACTACTGCTACTACTACTACTACTACTACCACTACTACTACTACTACTACTATTACTACTATTACTACTACTATTACTACTATTATATACTACTACTACTACTACTACTTCTACTTTTACTTACTATTCTGTTCTGTATCATTAATAGAGATCCATACTCCTGAGGATTAGGGTTAGGGTGTGTGTTGTGTGTGTGTGTGTGTGTGTGTGTGTGTGTGTGTGTGTGTGTGTGTGTGTGTGTGTTGTGTGTTGTGTGTGTGTTGTGTGTTGTGTGTGTGTGTCCTGTAGAGGGCAGCGTCGCTCTTCTGAAGAACAGGACGTGGAGGAAGATTTTATTATTTATGTTTTAAATGTGTTTATGTCTGAGAGAAACTGAAATCATAACTTTAAATGTCTCATTTAGTCCTGGTTTAGACCTGGTTTAGACCTGGTTTAGACCTGGTTTAGACCTGGTTTAGTCCTGACACACACGGGGGGGGGGGGACCTGACACACACTGGGGACGGGGGGGACCTGACACACACTGGGGACGGGGGGGACCTGACACACACTGGGGACGGGGGGGACCTGACACACACGGGGGAGGGGGGGGACCTGACACACACTGGGGACGGGGGGGACCTGACACACACGGGGGAGGGGGGGGACGGGGACATGTGACCTCTGACCCGGTGTTTCCTGTGGTCAGATGTTTGTGAAATCAAACTTCTGCTTTTTGGGTTAAAATCACTCGAACTGTTTGAACTGTGTCCTGTAAGTACAAATAGAAGTACTACTACTATTACTACTACTGCTACTACTGCTAATACTACTACTACTACTACTACTGCTGCTACTACTACTACTACTACTACTACTACTACTACTACTGCAACTACTACTACTACTACTCCTCCGACTACAACTACTACTACTACTGTTACTACTACTACTACTACTGCTACTACTACTACTACTCCTATTCCTACTACTACTATTACTACTACTATTACTTCTGCTGCTACTACTGGTACTACTATTACTACTATTTACTGCTGCTACTACTAATATTACTGCTACTACTACTACTACTACTATTCAATTCAATTCAATTCAAATTTATTTATATAGCACATTTAAAACAACTTCAGTTGACCAAAGTGCTTCACATACAAGTCAACAGCAACAGCATAGAAGAAACAGTTACATATACAAATATACAGAAAACATGTTAAAACTACCAAGATAACCTGACTAGCTCGTACTAAATGCCAGGGAGAAGAGGTGAGTTTTCAGTCTTGTCTTAAACTGCGTTACAGACTGAGAGGATCTGACAGCAAGAGGAAGGCAATTCCATAGTCTGGGCGCTGCCACAGAAAAAGCTCTGTCACCTCTTGTCTTGAGACGAGTTTTGGGCACGACCAACAGGAGCTGGTCGGCTGATCTCAGGGCTCTGGGGGAGTATAGGGCTGCAGTAACTCCCTCAAGTAGACTGGACCCATGGAGTGCAGACATTTGAAAACAATTAACAACATTTTAAATTGCACCCGGTATAGGACAGGGAGCCAGTGCAGGTCACACAGAAGAGGTGTGATGTGTTCACATTTTTTAGTATTTGTCAGCAGACGAGCTGCCGCGTTCTGGACGTGTTGTATGCGTTGCAGGGAGCCCTGGTCTAACCCTACATATAAAGAATTACAATAGTCCAGGCGTGATGTCACGAAAGCATGGATCACTTTTTCGAACTCTGCCCGTGGGAGGTAGGGCTTTACTTTAGCGAGGAGCCTTAACTGAAAGAAGCTGGACTTAATCACAGCGCTAATGTGCTTGTCCAGTTTGAACGTGGAGTCCACAATCACTCCAAGATTCTTCACTGCAGGAAGACAATAGGAGGACAGGGGACCAATCACACTGTCCTGCCCAATCAATGGATTAATTTGCCCAAACACCACAATCTCTGTTTTTTTATGATTTAGATTCAGGAAGTTTGCGCTCAACCAGGTTTGTACGTCCCTGAGACAGTCCTGCAGAGCTTTAATAGTGCTTTGGCTATCAGTTGCAGTCACTGGCAGATAAATTTGAATATCATCTGCAAAGCAGTGAAAAGTGACATTGTGCTTTCTAAAAACATCACCCAGGGGGAGCATATACAGAGCAAAGAGGGCCGGTGCTAATGTAGAACCCTGAGGCACACCGTAGTGTAAAGGAGACACTGAAGAGGAGTACTGCCCTAAATTTACAGAAAAACTCCTGTCAGACAGATAAGACCGGAACCAACAGAGCGCTGTGCCCTTAATGCCCACATGTGTCTCCAGGCGAGACAGAAGGACGGACTGTGATCCACCGTGTCAAAAGCGGCTGTTAAGTCTAAAAGCAAAAGAACGGCGGATTTCCCAGAGTCAACAGTTAAAAGCAGGTCATTAAAAACTTTTAAAAGAGCTGTTTCAGTACTATGCTGAGATTTAAAACCAGATTGGAATTTTTCACCAATTTCATTAAAATTAAGGTAAGCCTGTAGTTGGTCATAAGCAACCTTCTCTAAAACCTTAGATAAAAATGGCAACTTTGAGATAGGTCTAAAATTACTAAGAACATTTGGGTCAAGATTTGGCTTTTTGATAAGTGGTTGTACTACAGCATGTTTCAGGGCAGTGGGAAAACAACCAGACATCAGAGACGTGTTCACAACATGAGCAATATAAGGTCCAATAGAATCAAAAATGTCCTTGAACAGACGGCTTGGAATAATATCTAGAGGACAAAAGGAAGGCTTTAGCTGTTGAACAATTTTTTTCAGGTCGAGAAGAGACACTGGTTCAAAACACTCAAAAACTGAATTACAGACTGTTGAAGCTACAAGGTCCACAGCAGAAGGCACTGACAGTCTAAGAGCAGAGACTTTATCCCTAAAGAATGATAAAAAACTTTTCACAGAGGTGTAGATGAGGGCACAGCCACATTTGTCGTACATGGATTTACCAGAGTCTTCAAAGTATTAAAAAGCATCTGAGGTTTGTGGCAGTTTGTTGATACCATGTTTGATATAAAACTACATTTCGCAGCTTTAACTACCCTCTGATATTCGACCAAACTGTCTCTTAATATTTGCAGGGAGACCTGTAGGCGGTCTTTTTTCCATTTCCTCTCAGCGCGTCTACATGCGCGCCTAATCTCACGCGTATTTTCATTGAGCCAAGGCTGTGCCATGGGCTTAGCGCGCTTTAGCCTTAATGGAGCCACTGCATCCAGAAACTCACTACAAGTGTCATTGAAACAAGAGAGCAGACCATTCGGCGTGATGTTTTGCCAGTCGTCTTGGTTCATAATTCCCGATGCATTGAACAGACCAGAAAACAAAGACGCAGTCATAGAGTTTAATTGTGCGCACTCGGCGCGCTGAGGCGCACGGACTAACCACAGTGTGGGGCAGCGTTATAGAGAACAACACGGCAAAGTGGTCCGAAAAATGGGTTTCGCAAATCTCCATTAGATTTACATTAAGACCAAAAGACAATACCAAGTCCAGTGTGTGTCCTTTTTCATGTGTTGAGCCCAACACCGACTGAGTTAAGTTAAACGCATCAATCAAATTTAAAAAGTCTTTAGCCAAAGGTCTGGATTCACAGCAGACATGAATATTAAAATCACCGACAATCAAAAACTGATCATAGCGCAGTAACAGGCCAGTCAAGAGATCCGAGAAGTCCTGAATAAAATCTTTATTGAACTTTGGAGGGCGATACACCAAAGCGCACAGGACCGGAGTATCCAGGCTCAATGTGAAAGTCTGAAGCTCAAAGCTCGAAAACGGGTCTATCGGTACCTGCCGACAGACGTAGCTGGATTTGTATATTGTTGCTAGCCCCCCACCTCTGCCAGACATCCGAGGACAGTTCAGATAGTAGCAGTTAGGTGGTACAAGTTCTGAGAAAGGGGAAGACTCACCAACCTGGAGCCATGTCTCCGTGAGCAACATAAAATCCAGATTCCGCAAAGTGAAGAAATCGTTAAGAAGAAAAGTTTTATTTGCTAGCGATCTAGCATTCAAAAGGCCCAAATGGATAGTCATATCCTGGGGAGTCCGTGTAGAGCTCCGGCGCAGCAACCGAAGGCGTCCCAAATCCACACCGCGGCGTTTGGCTAGACGCTTGTGGAGTGGCGCTGCTAGCGGCAGGTGACGCAGGCCGGTGTCTAGGCGCACGGGAGTCACAGGCTGGATCCACCGTAATCCGTGTGATCCTTGAAGTGCTGTGTTTCCAGGAGTGGCGAGGAGAGGAATAATTCCAGCATTGGCTCTCCAGTACGCCTTCACTCTCACTAATACGCCTCCACGTTTTCCGCGCTTTCTGGGCCGCTTCCTCCGCGTGGAGACAGGTGAGCGCAGCAGGTAGGCCGGGACTGACGCCAAGTGAGGAGGGAATCTGGATGCTTGATCCTCAAAGTTGTGGTTAAGAAACAGTTCATGAGAACACTTCAGATTAAAAAGTGCCTGGCGATCATAGACTAGCAGTCCAGAGAAATCTTGGCACAAAATAGAGAGAAATGTCACAACAAACAGTAGTTTTAGTAGAGCAGGTAGACGGCTGCCTGTACACGCTGGCGCCATCTTGCCTTGCTACTACTACTGCTACTACTACTACTACTACTACTACTACTACTACTACTGTTACTACTTACTACTACTACTACTACTACTACTACTACTGTTACTACTACTACTACTACTACTACTACTACTACTACTACTTACTACTACTGTTACTACTACTACTACTACTACTACTACTACTACTACTACTACTACTACTACTACTACTACTACTACTGTACTACTACTGTTTACTACTGTACTACTACTACTACTACTACTACTACTACTGTTTACTACTACTACTGCTACTACTACTACTACTACTACTACTACTACTACTACTACTACTACTACTACTACTACTACTACTACTGTTACTACTGTACTACTACTACTACTACTACTACTACTACTACTACTACTACTACTACTACTACTACTACTACTACTACTACTGTTACTACTACTACTACTACTACTACTACTACTGTTACTACTGTTACTACTACTACTACTACTATTACTACTACTACTACTACTACTACTACTACTGTTACTACTACTACTACTACTACTACTACTACTACTACTACTACTACTACTACTGTACTACTACTGACTACTACTACTACTACTACTACTACTATACTACTACTTACTACTACTACTACTACTACTACTACTGTTACTACTGTTACTACTACTACTACTACTACTACTACTACTACTACTACTACTGTTACTACTGAACTACTACTACTACTACTATACTGTTACTACTGTTACTACTACTACTACTACTACTACTACTACTACTACTACTACTACTGTTACTACTACTACTACTACTACTACTACTACTACTACTACTACTACTACTACTACTACTACTACTACTACTACTACTACTACTACTACTACTACTACTACTACTGTTACTACTGTTACTACTACTACTACTACTACTACTACTACTACTACTACTACTACTACTACTACTACTACTACTGTTACTACTGTTACTACTACTTGCTACTACTACTACTGTTACTACTGTTACTACTACTACTACTACTACTACTACTACTACTACTACTACTACTACTACTACTACTACTGTACTACTACTATTACTATTACTACTACTACTACTATTACTACTACTACTACTATTACTACTACTACTACTACTACTACTACTACTACTACTACTACTACTGTTACTACTGTTACTACTACTGCTACTACTACTACTGTTACTACTGTTACTACTACTACTACTACTACTACTATTACTACTACTACTACTACTACTACTACTACTACTACTACTACTACGTTTCTACTGTTACTACTACTTCTCCTGTTTGAGTTGAATCTTGATGTTTGTGTTTCAGGGATGGATCCCAAACTGAGCATGAAGGAAACGAACAAAAAGGTCAGAAACTGAACTGAAAACAACAAACATTTTATCCTCTCTCCTTTTCTCTCTTTCTCTCCTCTCTGTTTTTTAATGCAGTGTCTCTCCTGCAGGTGGCGCTGACTCTGTGTTTCGTCCTGCAGGTGGCGCTGACTCTGTGTTTCTGGTTTCGTCCTGCAGGTGGCGCTGACTCTCTGTGTTTCTGGTTTCGTCCTGCAGGTGGCGCTGACTCTGTGTTTCTGGTTTCGTCCTGCAGGTGGCGCTGACTCCGTGTCTGTTGAGCGCGGCGTTCTTTGGCGCTCTGGGTTCGTCGTTCCTGTACGGATATAATCTGTCTGTGGTGAACGCGCCGGCTCTGGTCAGGACAAACTTATTTTTTTTAATTTATTCTAATCCATGTTTCATTTGTTCATTCATTTTTCAAAATAAAACCAAAAATAAGAAAAAAAAAAATTCTTCATTATTTGTTTTATTTTAAAAATGAATGAGTTTATTCAGAATCCTCCTGCTCAGAAACTTTTACTTTTTTAGTTTTTAACTTTTATTATTATTATTATTATTATTATTATTTTTATTTTATTTTTATTTTTATTTTATTTTTTTTTTTATTTTTTTATTTTTTTTATTTATATTTAAAAAATATATATATATTTTTTTAAATAACTGATTTTTCTGCCAGAGTTTTATGGACCCTGTTTGGATGGAGCTTCAGAGTCTTGATGGACACAGTAGATTTTATTCAGCTGAGCAAATATTCCACAGATTTAATTTTATTTGGTTTTGTCACATTTTAAAATTGGTACAAGTTGAATTTCTGACACTGGGGTAAATGATGCTCCACTGAGTTCATTTGTGCAGCTGGACCCAGTCAAGTAGAAGTAAACATCAAGACCAAAAATCCAAGTTAATTCATCTGATATAAAAAAGTATTGAACAGATACATATGTCTCTAGTTTATCAAACTGTTGACCTTTTTTCTGTTCCATTTTTGGTTCTAAAGTTCCATACGTTTTAAACAGACCATTTATGAAACATGGAACAAAAATTATTTCCCAAATTTCAAAGACCCAAAAATCATGTAAATAAATGGATGTATTTCATCATATCTTGTGTTATTCCATCTTTGAACTGTTGATGAAGGGACATGATTTTTTTTTTTTTTTTATGTATTTAAAATGATACAAATGTTCTTGGAAGGACTGACATATTTTATAGAAATAGTTTCTTTCATTTTGAAGTAATATTAAAGTTTTCAGAAGAAAAAAGTGACAAATGATGTAAAATCCTGCACCTTCTACTTGTTTGTACAATTTTCCCTCCGTTACTTTTCCCTCCGTTACCATGAACTTTCTTAATAAAAAATCTCATGAGTCAAAAAGTCAGAGGTTTTTCAACCTAATCTTGTACCATATGGTAGAAAACTATATGAAGCAAATATTCAAACCAGTTTGTTAAGGATATGGAAGTGAGAACCAAGAGTTATCACTGTTTGGATTTATTGACCAAAAAGTGCTGCATATTTTATTCCCTCCGTTACTGACATGAGTTTTAAAATAAATTTTTTGTCTTGAACTTGAAAGAATCTCACAGGTTTAACTTGACCCTGTTGGAGTGTAACTCTTTCCTACATTCTGATACTTTACTTATTTCAATAGTTCCTCTAGTTTCTGAATAAGAGACATTTGAATGTCAAAAATCTGACCCTGTTTCCCTCTGTTACTGCTTCACTGGACCCTTATGGGAAAAATGTAGAAAACCTCAATATTTCAGATATTGTTTCAGTTTTTGCAGCTTCTGTGCTCAGAGCCTGAGGCCAGAGACTCGAGGATTTACTCTACGACATGAAAAACCCTGCACGTTTTGGACGTGTATTTTTAGAATGTATTAAAAGTGAATGAGGAGCCACAGTGCCCCCTGCAGGCGCATGTGGAGCAGCACGTCCTGCAATTTCAGAAAATATTTCAGAAAAATCTAAACTGTTTCTGACGCTTTACGAGAGCTTAAACAATTATCCCGGTTAAATCCAGAAAACATGTGCATCTGTTGTTCTGAGCGTTTCAGCCTCGTGTGTCCTGGGTCTGCTCTGAAACTTTCACTTTGACCTTTGAACTTTGGCTTTTATTGTGGCCAAATGGAAATAGGCCAGAGTTAGAGGAGCAGGAGTTTTAATAGTTGGCAAATTTTAGTTTTTAGTTTTGAGTTTTCTCCGCTGGTCACTGAGTGAAAAATGGAGGTTGGTTTGGAAAAAAAGTCTTAAGATGTTAAATGAAGCAGAGTCCAGGTGCAGAGCTGTGACTGAAGCTCGACAAACTCAACAGACACGTTACTGTGTTTACAGGAAATAATTTAAGAAAATATGAAACTTACAATCATGGAGGAATTACAATTTTCTGTCACATTATCAGAGTGATAAAATTCTAAAACAGCAGAATTTTGTTCCTATGAGTCGTGACTGTTTAGAGTTTCAGTTTGTTCTTCTAGACCAGGGGTGGGCAAACTTTTTGGCTCGGGGGCCACATAGGGTCCTAAAATTTGACTGAAGGGCCAGACAGGAGACAGGACATGACGTGTTTAGATCCCGGCTCCATTGCACTCGTAGTTACGCTTGTGTAGGACGTACGCACTGAAACTTTTGGCTGCGAAAGTTTCAGAATTTATGAAAAATGAAATGAGGTTTTCTCCACTGCACACCACAGGCGAGTGTGAGTCCTGAGCACTTACATCTCATTGAGGAACAGAGCCCACGCTAAAAGTTCACACGCGTAAACACTTCTGCGTGCAGAGAAACCACACCTTCAGAAAGCTTTGCACGCTAAGATTTAAGATACAGTGTGTATAAGTGTTTTGAACAGTTTTATGTCTTGAACACTTCTACCTCACTCATGGTCCAATACATCGCCTGAAAATGAATCCTGTAAGAACATTTTCCCATAAAGCAGGGGGGTCGAAACTTTTTACATCAAGGGCCACATATCTAAACACAGACGAAGCAGAGGCCGATCGAGGGCTGTAGACTGGAGCTCAGTACAGGGAATAACTGAAATGTGTGCATGTTTAGAATGTGTTAGAATGTCAGTTTTTATTCATGCTAAGATCCTTAAAATCACAGATGATATATTAAATATTGGCTTTATCAAGGTAGACTTTCAAAAAACTTGCAGTAAAAAAATATTTTTTAAATGATGCAAGGTAATTTGGGCCAATTCACCTGGAAGCCTGAGGGCCAAGAAAAATTTGTCTGAGGGCCGCATTTGGCCCCCGGGCCATAGTTTGGACATGTTTGCCATAAAGCATTGCGGCCAACATAATACGCCGCACCTCAATGTATATAAAGTGCA